TTTTTAAAAACTTGAATTTGAAGCAAAATAGATGAAAGAAGAAACAGGAAGAAAATGAAAGATTACAGCTCAGGAAAAAGCAAAGGTAAGGAAGAGAAACAAAAGTAGAAACAAGATAGCTTGAATTGGAAATTGAGAATAAAAAATATAAAAAGAAATGGAATCTTAAAAGAAACTGGAATTCCAAAAAGAGGAAATTAAGAGAACATGACTTGTCTCTCAAAAAGCTTAGACTAAAGGAAATTCTAAGGAGAAATTATATAAATTAGGCCTATTTTCTGTAGAATTTAGAAGATTAAGTTGTGATCTGATTGAGGTCTTCAAGATATTAACAAGAAAAGACGGAGTAGATAAAGATAAACTATTTCACTGGTTGGAAATTCTAGAACTTGGGGCCATAGTCTAAGAATTAGGGCTAGACCATTCAGGACAGATGTTAGGAAACACTTCTGCACACAAAGGGTGGTAGATGTTTGAAACTCACTTCAACAAACTGCAGTGGATGCTGGATCAGTTGATAATTTAAATCTGCGACTTTTTTTGTTAAGCAAAGGTATTAAGTGATATGGACCAAAGGTGGGTATATGGAGTTAGGCCACAAATCATCCATGATCTGACTGAATCATGGAAACAGGGTCAAGGAGCTGAATGTGTATTCCTGTCCCCATGTTCCTAAGAAGAGAGAGGCAGTAGCTCAGAAGATGGATCTGATTCTAAAATATGGGGTTTAATTAGAAATTGGCATTTAGTGCATAAACTTACAGAGAGTGGAGTCTACAGACATATCACCTCGTTTGAAAAAATAGCTGGGAAGTTGAAGCAACCCATGGATGTTTGGACCTTAATGTTATAGTGTGCCTTGAGAGGTACAGCTGATAATGTGTACACAAATTTGTAAGAACAGCAATCTGTAGACTATGCATGCTGTTAAAAGAACAATACTCAGCGCTTATAAGCTTCAGGATCAAGCTCATCAATTAAAGTTTAGGACTATAACAATGAGACCTAAACAGACATTTGGAGAGTTTTCAAGATAAAAATGAAATGTTGCAGGATTAGTGGTTTTGACCACTAAAATGAAGAAAAAATTTGAGAATGTGAGGGAAATCTTGACTACGGAAGAATTCCAAAATTGTATTCCAGTAACCTGTAACACTTGTTTAGGTGAACATCAAGTATCAAAAATTCAAAAAGCCACAGTACTATTTGTAGCTGTCACAGCCATTTACATGTGGGGAAACAATCATATGGCAAGCAAGGAAATTGGAGGAAAAGAAAATCTAGGGTTGGAACCGTAAGTTTTAGGGAACGAACAGAAGAATGCCAAAATAATGAAAAAGGCTAGAATCTAAATGTGATGAAAAGAATATAATTTTCTTCCATTGTAATAAGACTGAATATGCTATAATTGTTGAAAGTTAAATGGGAGTCCCCTATTGCAGTGGTAGGAACACCCAAGGAATCTTCAGAAAAAGAGATATCTGTAAAGGGATAATAAAAATGTAGCAGTAGTACAGATGGAGAATATTCCTTAAACTACTAGAAAGGGAAAGAAAGTTTAGGATAGTCAAGCAAATGTTCTTTGGTCCTTGGTAAAGGGAATCAGACAACTGGAGTTCTAAATATTTTGTTTAAAAGGAAGAGGGATTTCATTACTCTTCTCTTCAAGGAGGTGAACTAGTAAAGATATTGTGAGATAGCAGAGCAAGTCATTCACTGATGCTGGCTGATGATACTATTGTCTACTATAGAAGCTAATGAATTACACAGAATTGGATTAAAAAGTGACTTAATAAGTGGTGGGGTTGCAGTTAGAATAATGTAACAAATCCTCATAGAAGGAACTGACTTTTTCTTGGAAAATGACCTGGCTGATTCAGAAATATCAGTCGCACCAAGAGTGTTGGAGCAACCATTAGAAGTTGGAAAAAATTGAAATGCTACAGGAGAAACATCCTGGATTTTCCTGATTCTGTTGTGACAGACCTCAGGCTCAAAGAATTTGACAGGAAGAGGAGGAGTCTGCAAAAAAGGGATATGAGTTAGAAATTTGTTATCTGACACTAATTTTTTAAAATTAAGAAGAAAGGATAAAAGTAAAGAGGAAGCTAACATGTTTAACAACAAAATTTCTGGAAAAGCTCAGCTGGTCTGGCAGCATCTGTGAAGGAG